TACATGTTTTGGTAGAATCCAGGGTGGACTGCTGCTTCGTATCCACGCAGTCTTATTTGTTTTCTGTTTTATCCTTGCGCGTGTGTGTGCATAGAGTGAGCAAGAGTTTTCACCGTTATCCACTATTTTCAGCATCCTCATGGCCATAGAGCCAATCCCCAGTGGATATGGAGGTCCTACTGTATTGTTAACACATACCAGATAGAGATAGTCCAACGTTATTCCATCTGAATCCACTGTTTTCTTGGCATAGTTGAAATGCGGTTCCTTACCATGAAAAAACAAAGAAGAGCTTCCATATTGCTCCTGGCTGGTTTGGTGGTGCACCAGGGAGCTGTGGGGCGCCGTGAGGGGCGCTATGGTACACAAAGCTTGGTTTTAACTCTCTGGAAAAGACGCTGATGTTAGGAAAGTGTAAAGGCAGGAGGAGAAGGGGGCGACAGAGGACGAGACGGTTGGACAGGGTCATCGAAGCGACCAACATGAATTTGGCCCAACTCCGGGAGGCAATGAAGGACAGGAGGGCCTTTGGGTTCAAGTCCAAGTCTTTGGGTCCAAGTCCCAAGTCTGAGTCTTTAGGTCCAAGTCCCAAGTCCATGTCTTTAGGTCCAAGTCCCAAGTCCGAATCTGAGTCTTTGGTACCAAATCCTGAATCCCAAACCCCAAATCTGAGTCCCTATTAAAGATAAGCTTTTTCCCCCATAGAAAAGGGACATGTGGGTGGGTTCTGAATCGGTACTTGAGTCTCAGTCACTGGGAAAAAAACAACAACACAAGTAAGTGGAGTCCAAACCAAGTCAGTGGTACAACTTAAGTCTGACTTGACAGCAAGTCCTGTGACTCAAGTCCCCATCTCTAGTCGATTGCATGTCTCCTGCCATGAGACATTCAGTTCAGATCGCAGGTTCTCAAAGCGAAGCCTTCGTTGCCTCATGTACAAGTTCCTTTAGAGATGCTGGGTTTAGGCGTTCCAGGGCTGAAACACTTTTCACATATTGAATCATTTGAGGGATTGGCATTATTCCAGCGATGCTGCTCCAGTATGAAACGCCAATAAAAATTCCTAACATTCAGCTCCCCTGAGAGCTGAGGAGTGGAGGGGGGGGAGTGTGATAAGAGTCTGCCGGTCGTCCTACTTTGAAAAGACGGCTTCCAGCTTGCATCATATTTGGCTCCCGCATCGACAGCAAGATCTGTTGTAGGTAGAGTTGCGGTTCTTTGTCTCTCGTTCTTCAGGAAGCTATAGTTTTATTTTAAGGTCAGTGCTTCACATTCCCTCAATACATTGGCCAAAAAAGTAGATATTTCAACATAGTTCGCCGTAAAAAAATATATTGGAGTGGGAAAATAGCTTTGTAGCATTAGGGAGAAATGTAGGATGACCGGGGCCAGGTTGGAAATACTGCTTTGATCAACCTAGGAGGAAGATTTTGTGGAACTGTTGTTGAATTTTCATCAAGAACCATGTTCCTCAAAGCCTTCTTTCAGTGGGAAGGCTCCCGTTCATTTTTACCAATGCTTTGTTGAAGCCTTTAGTCTAATAGTGAAACACGCGTGTGCACTGCTCTAACCAGCTCCTGATTCTGTGCTGAGAAGACGTGGATTATCTGACATTGATAAACCAGATTCAGAGCACATACATAATTTGCATAGAAAAAAGAGTATTCCTATGCAGCAAGGTAAAAAAAGTTATTGAGACACTAAAGCTCAATTTTTTGAGAAGCAGTGTTTGATCGTTTTATGTACGTACCTTCTCTGCCAGCACTGCTGTAAAGGTCTGGAAAATTGATTTCTCTGCCCCTAATTCACATGCATTAATTGACTGACTGACTGACTGACTGACTGACTGACAGGTCGGTCGGTCGGTCGGTAGGTATGCATGCACAACTTGTGCATAGTGGTGGGTTCTTCAAATTTTTATGGGCGCAGATGTGTATCTTTCAGTAGCCTGCGTCTTTGATTTGAGATGTGAACCTTCAGAGAGCTAGCTCTTCTATCCTTGATCCCACACAAAATATGGACATTTTGTCTGCAGAAGGTCCAAGAGAGGTGTCTGTATAGTGTGATGATGTTGAATGCTGCTAGGGGTCTAAACCTGTTTGGAATAATTGCAGAAAGGATTAGACAAGAAGAGGAATGGCTAGCAAAGAAATGTAGGGGTTGATTATGCTATTACTGTCATAGCCATTTGTTTGACAAGCCCGATATAGTATTTTCTAGAAAATTCTCTGCTGGGATTTCTAAGACTATAAAGCATTCAACCGGCACATGTGTTCTCCAAACTGGAAGTAAGATAGGTGTATATCCAATCAAAATATTCAGACTGGGATCTGTGGAAAGTATATCCATATGTATGAGAACATTGTATTCTTATGGAATGGGGCCAATAAGCAAAAGGGGGAGGGTTGTATCCAACACTGGGTATCAGTAGCTAGTAATAAAGGAGGAGGAAGAGAAGGAGAAAGAGGAGGAGGAAATTGAACAGAGCCATCCCAAGCAAAATCTCAGCAATTCTTCTTTCTCCCTTGTTTAAACGTTTGAGGCATGAGCCAACATGAAGAAAAGCGACCTTTGCAAGTGGATTAGAGGCGCTTCTTTTCTTAGAATTCCCTTCAAGATTCAGCTTGTGTGACCTTTAACTGCAAAGGTATTGTTAGGTGACATTCATGGGCCTTTGGCGTCATCAAAAAGAATGATACTCCTAAATTGAAAACTTATCATATTACAATGCTTCCAGCCATTAACAGACCATTTTATTTTACAGTCGCAGTATCCTTCATCCCTTCCCCTACTGTCTAATGGCTGACTGATTTTACCTGATTTCAGATAAACCAAGGCACATGCAGTCCACCAGCCTGTCAGTTTTATTAACAGTATCTTCATCCCTTTTTTGGTTATGACCTCAGACACCAAGCATGGGATCCAGAGTTAAGGCGGTTAGTCTAAAACCAGAGAGAACCAGTTTCAAATCATTCCTCAGATAGGAAACTCCTCAGATGATGGCCCGTCAGATGACCTTCTGTCTCTCAGTGTGACTTTCCTTCAGGCCTTCAGTTGGGATGATGAAGTGGTACAACTTCATTTAGACTACTCAAAATGTTGTGGAAGAAGCAATAAACTAAAACTGTAGTGAAAGAAAATTAAGTGCCGTCACTTCCCTGCCTATATTTAACATAAGATAATAGGATTTACTTTTCTGTCCGAGTAATTGTGTTTTGAGGTGAATTCCTACTTCCCTGCCTATATTTAACATAAGATGTAGTAATAGGATTTAGTTTTCCGTCCGAGTAATTGTGTTTTGAGGTGAATTCATTATCAGCTTTTTCATGGCAGTTTTACAGCTAATGATTGCATTTAAATCCAGTACTTCTCTAACAACAGAGGCTGGCATCCTTTCCAGAGTTTTACACAAAGGCACCATTTCTGGCTGCTGGCTTCTTTGTTCACTCGTCCACCGTGTCTTGTGATTTCCTGATATCCCGTGTAGAGTTACTTCCCTGGCCATATCTGAATGGGTCTTTTCCATTAACCTCGCAATGACAGAGGTTATTTTTTGTGTCTTGGTTCGCTGACTTGGCTGAGGTTTCTGTATGTACCCATTTCTATAGGAGCCTTAAAACCGCTATATATTTTCATTTATTTGGTTGCTGATCAACCAGAACAAACTGCCATACATTTGTCCAATTTGGGTTGAGAATTTGGAGAGCAAAAGGAGCCTCCCTGGGCTGGATCGGGACCGGAAACGAACTGTGGTGACAGTTTCACAAGAGAAACAAACTAAAAGTAGAGATGGACTGATCGTAGGAAGTTTTAAACAGCAATATCAGTTAGAGACGCTGGAGGGCAAGATTCGGCAGAAGTATTTGCACAGGAGGGCCACCGAATCACAAGGGAAGACCAGCTTTTGCCGGAGAAGGGACTGGAGCCCTGTCTGAGTGTTTTTCTAGGACAGATTAAGACAGAGAGACTGGTGGACTTCTGGGGAGTCATGTTAATGTCCCTCCACCCAGGGAGGTGCTCCTGACCCTGATGTTATGCTTTGGGCAGAGCTTAGAAAAATTACTGTTCTGAGACTGGCCATGTTGTCTGGGGAATTCGGGGAATTTTATTTATTTATTTATTTATTTATTTATTTATTTATTTATTTATTTATTTATTTATTATGCTACTTTGAAAGAAAGCTTTCCTTGAAGTTTTGCCATTTCGTACAAACTGAAACAATTTTTTATTCTTGCCGAATTTTCTGAACCCTTCATATATAGGCCCTTAGGTCTCTTTGTCCCTTATGCCACTGTGTCGTATAACTTTCTGATGGATGGATTTGCCATGCTGTTCCAGTTTTCTTCTTGTGTTTTGTTGATCTGTCTTTACCTACTATTAGTTATTTCTGTTTATACTTGTGCGGTTATTCTGTGTTGCTCACATCTGATCTGTTGATCGTAATAAAGTATTCGATACTATTAGATTAGTTATCTGTTTTCTTCTTGTATTTTGTTGATTTGTCTTTACCTGCTATTAGTTATTCTGGGAACATTTGCACTGAACATTGTGGGAGACAAATGATGTGATTGACTTATTTATTAATTATATGGGAAGACAGTGATGCTTAATTTCTTTCTCTGGTTTATAGTTCTTCAGAATATATACAGGCTAGTCTATGGAATCCTAATGTATCTGTCTGGCTCAGATGACCCTTTCAAAAACGGCGGTTACTATTAGTTATTCTTGGAACATTTGCACTGAACATTGTGGGAGACAAATGATGTGATTGACTTATTTATTAATTATATGGGAAGACAGTGATGCTTAATTTCTTTCTCTGGTTTATAGTTCTTCAGAATATATACAGGCTAGTCTATGGAATCCTAATGTATCTGTCTGGCTCAGATGACCCTTTCAAAAACGGCGGTTCTGCCAGCACCTTGTCTACTTGCAAATCAAACGGGGACAGTTCCATGCACAGCACTGGCTTACCACTGTTCTGTTTCCTCTCCCAACAGCATGGGGATGAGCCATGACGATGACCACGCATCCTGTGCTGGGAGATCACACATCATGTCCGGAGAATGGGTGAAGGGTAGGAATCCCAGTGACCTCTCCTGGTCTTCCTGCAGTCGTGATGACCTTGAAAAATTTCTCAAGTAAGACCCTTGCAGACGGCAAGGCTTCTCAATCATAAGACACTAAGTCTCTTGTTTTCTCGGCTGAAATGGGGAGCGATGTTTCGTGGTGGGTGCTGGAAGGCAGAATCTGCCTCTCTTTGCTTCTTGAGCTTTGCAAAGAATTGCTGGCAGGAGAACACAAATTTTATGATACCTGAGTTTCAGCACTGTGACAGCTTCTTGAAAAGAATCCCAGGTTTCTTGTCACTTGGAGATCAAGCCCTGTGAGTGTTTTGTGACAATAGAAATGTGTCTGGATGCTTTTGAATAGCTCTTTCAGTAGGAAAGAAGTATCCAGGTCTTCGCCTTTAGAATCTCTGTACAAAAATAAGTGCAGGTTCAATGGGTGGCTTCTTGATCTTTAGGCCAACCTGTCCGTGGAAGTTACTATGGCTCTAGTTGCCCCCCCCCCCTTCTGCAAAGTGTCTAGTAGAACTGGCCTCATGCTGCACTTTCATGGTATTTGGTGTTTTTCCATCAATGGTGATCAAGAGTGTGGAGTTGTATACAAACAATGACACAGACTTTTGCTGTGATGGAGGGGAAGAATGGGGATAGACAGCTGCCATTTTGGGAACGACACTAAGTCTACCAGTAGATCTTGTCAAATTATGACAGCTATTTCTGATTTCTGTCCAAGCTTTTAAGGCTAATTGGAGGCTCCCTGGGGATCCTGAGGCACATTTGAGCAAATAATGTTGATAAGTAATTCTACTTTTCCAGAAACTTTGTAACAATACTGTTTCTGAGACAATAAAGAAACAGTTAGTTTATGGCTACAAATCAAAGATTTAATCTTCATCTCCTATATTTTTGATATCCTGAATTTCTAATGTGCTTATTGTGACTTCTGGTTTTGTCAATTGTTAAACTTTAAAATTAGCCACCCTTACGTTTTGAGCAGAAGAGTATTGCAAAAATATGAAAAAGCAGATATATAATGCTGAAATCTCTCTTATCTTAAAAGCACTATTTGGGTTTCCAACTTGACAGCACATCATAACAGGTATATAATGCACTTCAATTAAAGATTTTATGGAGAAAAGGAGGTTTCAAGCATGCATAGTAATATGCTGTTCCCAGGAATTTTTGAATGGGGTTGCTAAATTAAGAGATCCATTCATTGACAAAACTGAGAATCAACAGCCATTAAGGTTAACAATTAAATTCCTTTTTTTTCTAGGTCCAAGGTTAGCACTTGCCTGCTGGTGACAGACCCACGGAGCCGATATGCCGTGCGGCTTCCTTACAAACTTCCTGGGATGCACTACAGCGCGGATGAGCAGTGTCAGATCCTCTTTGGAACCAATGCAACCTTCTGCAAGAATATGGAGGTAAAGTTCTCACTGAGACAGCAAAAAGCAGGGAGAAAAATACTGGCAGAATCATCTCATTCTCTAGAGTCGCGATGGGAATCATGCAGCCTGCAAAGAACATGCAAGGTCTCACAAGGCCAGTTTGCAGCCCCAAACTTTATATGGTAAAGAAATGGGACTTGCAGCATGGCAATTCATCTTTTAAATAGGTTGCATCCCATTATCTCCTTTTTTGTAGGGCTTGAGATTTTGCTTATTTTGATTTTTTCCCCCTGTACTTTTTTGCGTTAGAAACCTTGAGGGTAATGTCCTGGTGAATCTTTAGGGAGGAAAATTAACTCCTGGATGCCTGGAGTTTGGTCATGATTGTTCAAGAGCAGAGATCATGCTTTCTGTAACAAAGTTATTGCTGCAGTAAAGGTCCTTCTTGCCGTCTCGCCATAAACATTTCAGAAACTTAAGATCTGATATAAAACTGGAAATAAGAACCATTTATATTTTTCACTGCTGCATAAATGAGATGTGCCAAATTAATAAAACATTTCACAGTGTGCTATAGAAGAGGAGGGATGTTTGAAAGCCTTAAGTGTTTTGTTTTATTTGTTTTGGATGCGAAAGGCAGCGAACACAACGTGAAAACAATGAACAGCTTTTTCAAGAGATCTGGTTAACTAGCCTTTTCAGGGAATGTAGACCACCAAGCTTGCTTTTACTGAGAGAAGCTCTGAATGTTTGCTTCTTTAAAGACCATCCCAGGAAGAGCTGTTGAAATAAGGGCATTCTCAGCTATTTCCATTCAAGAAGCTGTATGGCTTAAATCTTTGATGCAGTTTTATTTATTTCATCTTTATCTGTGGGTACTTGGCCTATTGCATTGTTTTCCCATTTTTTGAAAGGTATGGAGTCGTTTCCAGGGACATGAAGAATGCTCACTAAAAGCCAAGCTCTCATTGATTTAGGTTGTCTAGACACAACATGACACGTTGATGGGACATTTCCAAGCCCCGTGAGATTTCTCACCTCCGGAACAGGAGGGCTTCTTTTCTTTGGTTGGCACACACAATGCCTTTGAGGGAGAGAACATCCTTTCCATTTGAGAAGCAAGGCATTTTTTGCCCCCAAACACAGAAAGACTAGCTGACATGTTAAAAACAAAACCACCACCAACCAATAGATGTGTCAGATTCTTAAAAATCAGGATACTCAGCCTACAGTTTTGGCTGTTCTGAATAATTGGTACTAACTGAATAATTGGTACTAACTAACTAACATCATTTGCACAAGATTTTGTGCAGGTGCTGTTGAGTGGATATCATCAGAAAATGTCTTGGCTCCTTTTTTGCAAGGTGAGGAGAAAATGTTTGCATTTCCATGTCTTTGCCTGTGAGGATGACAGAAACATGAATTAACATTTCTTCTGTACCAATCTGTCTTCCGTGCTCAGAAATCCCTCACCTTTCCTTAAATATTGTAGAAAAGGCAGGGACACAGATCAGAGGAGACACAGAGAGACCTTCCTCTGCAGTGGAATGAGGGAAAAGGACAGTCACTGTGTTATGAACCTCTCTTTTCCTCTTCTCTCACAAAGGATGTTGTTGTTGTTTAGTTGTTAAATCGTGTCCAACTCTTCGTGACCCCATGGACCAGAGCACGCCAGGCCCTCCTGTCTTCCACTGCCTCCCAGAGTTGGGTCAAATTCATGTTGGTAGCTTCAGTGACACTGTCGTCCCCTTCTCCTCTTGCCTTCACTCTTTCCCAACATCCAGGTCTTTTCCAGGGATCACAGAGGATAGCTGCCAGAAACTCAAAGAAAGGTTTCTCAGCAATGAGTCCCTGGGGTACATGAGTAGCCCCACCAGTTGCAGCAAAACAACTCATCTCTGTAAACAGAAGTGAGCAGATTCTATTTCTATTTCTTTGGTATTCCATAGGTTCACATTGTCCAGCAGTCCTCTCAATTTCCAAGTTTTCTAAAATTAATTCTGAAGTTAAAGGAACTTCAATTTTGCACAATTTCCATTGGCATCTTTTATCTCCATGTTATTGGGGTTTCTGTGTGCGTACTTCGCTACAAAAAAAATCAGCCTTACTTTAGAATTTATTTTGAATCTTTATGTATTGCCTAATGCTAAAAGTTCTCTGGGTATGTTGGTGAGTAATCTCATGGAATTTCAAAATTCCATGTCAAAGTTGTTATGTCATAATTTAGCATACGTTGCTTCCATCCCCAGGAGCAGTTGATCTCACTGCCAGTTTAGGAGTAAAAGATGGATAATGAAAGCATGTTTTCCACTTCCTTTGGTTTCTTGATCAACATGAGATTTGGTACTTGCAGGTTTCTCTTCCTCTCCCTGTAATATACTTTCATGTCTTGTCTTCTTCTTCCAGTTTATTTAGAAAGGCAGACTTGGAAGCCTGCTTAAGAGGCTTCTTTAAAAGCTTTTAGAAACCATTCCTCCTGCATTAAGTGGATATATTATTCCATCCTAGTAATCCTTCCTTAAATTAATTGAAACTGAAATTGTAATTTTTATGATTACAATTTTTATGATTACAATTACCATGTCTACTCGGGGCGGCTTACAAAAATTTTATTTTGTAAGCTGCCCCGAGTAGACATGGTCTAGAGGGGCGGGGTAAAAATCAAATCAATCAATCAATCAATCAATCAATCAATCAATCACCAAAGTTGAAATGAAACAGTAACTGTCCTTTTTTGCCTTCCTAGCAGTCACTAGACTGGCGATTCCTCTCCGGTATCCACAAGTGAGGCACAGGGCTGCTACCCAATGTAAACATCAATATCAAATAATGCTAATATTTTCTAGCGTTCGGAGTGCGGACAGTGAGAAGGACAAAATATTGTGGTACATTTTCTGTGCCTGAGGAAGAGGTGTTTGATCATGAAAGCTCACATGGAAACAAATCTCTCTTCCAGTGCCACAGTTTATAGTACACATAAAAGATGGTCAGGTGTCTGGTCGTGGTGTATGCCCAGGAAGACTTTATGGGATACGTGCTATTTGTTCTAAATTTCTTATGAAGCTGTCCAAGACCAGGAAACAAATTGGTTAGTCTTTAAGGTGCTACAATATTTTGTTCAGATCCCCTCCTTTTTTAAAGTCCATGTCAAAATGGGCCACCTCTCTGGAAATGTACTATCTGCACTTCCAAAATCACAGCTTGTTCTTACACGGTGTGATTTCAGAGAAATGTTAGCGAATAGAAAGGAGAATTCTGGGAGATCAAATGCTTCTCCTCCAGAGGACTGAGGAAAAGAGAGAACTAATAGGATTCTGGGGTTTATGCCATCCTCTTCTACAGGTGGTAATACCAACACTGAGATATACAAGGCCATGCTTTCATTCATGGGGCGAAAATAACATAAGCTGGAGTTGTTTTCCTGTATCATGCCAAGGCAGGGAACGTGTCCCCCAAATTACTTGCCTCTGTTTTGCATCCACTGTAAACCAGATAATTGGAGCAGAATGTTTTATATCTACATGTTTTTTTTAAAAAAGAAATTGATACATTTGTCTTTCTTCCTTTTTCATATTTCGACATAATGGTTAAAAGATGAGCCTCTTGATCCCAACTCCAGCTGTTTTTACCCATGATTTATAGCATCTCATTAAATTGTGTGATGCAGTGCATTTTGACCTTATTTTCTTCTAAATGTAGCTGAAGGGGAGTGCTTAACGGTCACATACAGTAGTTACTGATACGTGAATACTGTAATTACCCACTTAACGATATGCGGCAAATTCTCATTTTAAAGCTGAATGCTCCAGCAGGACCTGGAATTCTTAGGTGTCTCAGCTGGAATTTTGCCCAAGAGAAGATGTAAATGACTGTCACTTGCCATCATCCACTTCTGCCAGGGAGTGTTACATGTGGTCCTTGCAGCACTCTCATGTGATGTGGGGTAGCAGTGGGGAACTGTGGTTGGCAAGGTGTAGCTGAAGGGGAGTGCTTAATGGTCACATAGTTACTGATACGTGAATACTGTAATTACCCACTTAACGATATGCGGCAAATTCTCATTTTAAAGCTGAATGCTCCAGCAGGACCTGGAATTCTTAGGTTTGCCCAAGAGAAGATGTAAATGACTGACACTTGCCATCATCCACTTCTGCTAGGGAGTGTTACATGTGGTCCTTGCAGCACTCTCATGTGATGTGGGGTAGCAGTGGGGAACTGTGGTTGGCAAGCCTCACGTCCCTCCACAAATACATTTTTGCACCCTGCTAAGTCACCCCAGAGTCCCCCATAACGTGGACGAACATGGCTTGTCCTATGCCTTGTCCATTGAAGAAGGCACAGGCTGGACAAACGTAAACTAGAGAAGTGTTCCTGCAGACCGTTCTGGAAGCTTAGTAGCTTCACCTAACCTCTGCTTCTCCCCCATTGGGAAGGGCACAGGGTGGGGCGATCCTGGTTCTTATCCAGTTTGAGATTGGAGCTAATACTGGAGACTCCCCTGTGCATCGTCGACCTCCCCATCTGACAGAGCGGGTGGTACGAGAGGATGTTATTTGACTGGCACTTCCCTTGTTATTTCCAGTGGGGGCCCTGATTTGTTCCCTGTTGGGAAACTTGATTGGGCTGAGGGTGTGGAATCTCCCAGGGATGTGGCTCAGTAGAAGTGGAGAAAAATGGGGAGGGTGTCTCCCCTCGTCTCTTTGTGGGCCAGATTAGACCGGTGGGTTGGAGCTTCCCTTTCCCCTGATAGAGCTGGTATGCGCTTTGTGTCCTATAAAGGTTATGTGCCAGGAAGAGCATAGATCTGATTTACAGCCCAGGCTATTCAATGGTTCTTGCAGACATGATTTCAACAGTGCTTGAGGTCTGCAGAGATTTGGCAGATTTCTTTCCAATCCACAGATGAACTTTAGCCTTTCTTTTCTCCTCCGGATCCTGAACCTGAGCCTTCTTCTATCTATTCTTTCTCTTTCCCAGTTTCTCTTTTCCTATTTCCAGCTTCCGATCTGCAACTCCTCTGTTCAACGCTCTTGTCCCAGTCGTTCCAGTAGACTTGTATGGATGCACCTTTACTTACAAGATGTTCCATCTTTCCCCCGGGGCACTGTGTGCGTCTTTGGGGTACCCAGGCAGGCATGATTAACATCAGCAAAATGGCTTGTCCTTTACCTTCAAAGAGGGAGGTCTAAAGAGAGAGACTACCACCAGCCCTCTCCTCTTATCGATCAGCACTCTTCAGATGGAGAGGTGGATCCCCATTTCCTCCTTGAAATAGTTGTGATCTTTCTCTCATGGCTTAGACTTGCCTTGCTACCTTGGCCTTCTGTAGAGCCACAACTGGGGACCCTTCCGTCTGCTCACTCCTCTTTCACTTTTTTGGTTGCTCAAAGAGTCATTCTCCACCATCGTTAAAACTGCAGTCCTTTTCCTTATCGGGCAGTGAACTGTTGAAATGGAGAACAACTCCTAGGTCAACACTTCTAAGATCTCAGGGTAAATCCCCTTATCTGATTTCAAACCTCCACTGCCTTGTGGCTATATCCACTGATGGTAAAGGCTTCAGGAGTTAACCTAGAGGCAAAATCCGGAGCTGGAATCCCGAAGGCAGTTCGTGTCGTTCTGCCAACTCCTGCGACGTTGCTGGAACCAGTTGTATTGGCTCGTGCCTTTCCATTGGACCATTTCAGCAACATGGAGAGGGGGGATCTGCTGCTTGGGTAACAGCCTATCCTCCATATTACTTTACCCAGGCTTCATGCTCTGGAGAGGACACTCCTCGATTCAGAGCATGCTACCATAGTCTCTCGAGACTTGAAGGATGCCTGTGCTGTGCTGTGCAGATTTGTCACAAAGAGAAATTTGTCGGTAGCCGTACATGCTACATCACAAAAGAATATTTGAGCCTCTCTGTTATCTTGGGTCAGAAATGAGGACCCCCTGGCCCTTCAGGTTTGGTTGGACTACAGTACCCATCACTCTGCATATTTGCTGTGTTGCCTGGGACTGATTGGACTTCGATGACATCAAGAAGGCTTGAGTTTCTCCATGCCTGTACTAAGTTATTGCAAAACAGTCTTTTTCTGGAAGGGCTTTCGATGTTAGCTATTCTTAGCTTCCCACATTATATTTTATCATTCTGTTTTAGTTTGGTTCCCTTCTCCGCCTCCTTTAAGACATTGCAGCAGAGTAGCACTTGACAGCCCGCCAAACTGAAACTCATGAAAGTTTCCTGAGACATTCCAGTAAGTGTAAAATGTGTCGTAATGCACAGATACTCAACTTTAATTCTTTTTTTTTCTAAAATAACCAAAAATAAAAAAAAAACACCCAACCGTTTCCTATTGAAGTTTGGAAACGGGGAGGCTTTGTGGTACACAGAAGCAGTGAAACCAAATGCTTACCCTTCCTATAAAACAAGCAAACTGAAAGCAGACCGGCCATGCCCCAATTTGTGAAAGACATGAGCTGCAAAGAAAGCCATTAGCCACATTGTGGATTTTAAAATACTTTTAAGAAAAAACTTTGCATTTAAAAAACCAAATCTACAAGAATCCAAAAAAGTTAGATGGCTTTGCTGCTGTAATATAATTAAACCGGGGTCCCAGCTGAGCTGACACTTGGGGATCCATTGCAGAAATGTGTGTCCCTGTAGGTTTTGGGAAAGAGTGTGTGTCTGGATCAAAATTGGAGTTTCCTGCTCTCAGGTCTTCGCGCTTGCACATCCACACTACGGTGGTGTTGCGCTTCTTTCCCTCCTCCACCCTTCACCTCCGGCAGGAAGCACAACGTAGCTGCCGATGCCCTTGAAACATTCCATTCTTTCAAATTAGAAGACCCCAATCCTTTGAGGCCACATCCTGTAATTACTCACTCCAACCTTATTGTCTCAGAGAATTTTCCTACCCTGCTTCTCCAGACTTTGTGGGGGGTGCGGTGGGAAGAAGGGGAGAGACGCACATCACTTACCCCTGTGCTCTGTCTATCCAGATATCCCTTTGGGGTTCTGTTTGTAAACAGCAACAAGGCAGTCAGAGAGGTTTGGAGCAGGAAAGAACAAGGTAGAAGAAGCAGGAGGCGCTTAGAAGACGACGCTTCAGCGGGCTGAGGAGGGAAGGGGCAACAGGCAAAGGTGAAGGAGGCAGGAAAGGTTGGAGAAAGGTCTCCTCCTTCCTTCCTTCTTTCCTTTTTCCTAGATGCTTCAGCGGGCTGAAGAGGGAAGGGGCAAAGGGGAAGGAGGCAGGAAGGGTTGGAGAAAGGTGACTTCTTATTCCAAGTTCCAAGGTCTGGCTGCTTGAAACTTGAAAAGACAATGTGCACCTCTTAGCACACTTATGTGCAGCAGCTCTGGAACAGGCCAGGCTTCTCACAGAAGGCACCATCCTGGATAAATATCTGGTTTTTGGCAGTCCACAGCCTATTCTGGGGTGCAGCGGCTTCCTCCTTCCTTCCTTCTTTCCTTTTTCCTTCTTTGTCTTTCTCTCTTTTACTCCCATGGGAGATACTCAACATGCATTAATGTGGACTTCAACAAAATCAGTCAATTGATTGGAAAGAATGTTTTTATCATGCATGGTGGAATCTCCTAGTCATAGTGGCTGCACAGTATTGAATAGCTATAACTTCATATAGGTTTCAGGGGTATATAAACGTTGGGTCCTTATTCAGATGAAGGACTGAGCTGTATTTTGAAAGTTCTAGCAAATAAAGAACCAGGATTTAGGAGTTAGAAACCAACTTTAGCATTTTCGTGGAAGCAGCTGGAAAGGAAGATGGTGGCTGTCTTGTTTATTTGTTATTTTATTTTGTTCATCTCTCCTAATGTTGATGTAAAGTCGCTCACAAGAATTAAAAACTGCTACTAAAAATATAGGTAACGGTAAAAGTTCCCCTTGACAATTTTGTCCAGTCGTGTCCAACTCTAAGCGGCGGTGCTCATCTCTGTTTCCAACCCATAGAGCTAGTGTTTTGTCCGCAGACAATCCTCCATAGCCACGTGGCCAGCATGACTAGACACAGAATGCCGTTTGCCTTCCCACTGAGGTGGTACCTATTTATCTACTCGCATTTTTGCATTTTTCATGCTTTCGAACCGCTGGGTTGGCGGGAGCTGGAACAAGTGACGGGGGCTCACTCCGTTGCGTGGATTCAATCTTATGGCTGCAGGTCTTCTGACCTTGCAGCACAGAGGCTTCAGCGGTCTAACCCGCAGCGTTGTATAATTTTAAAATACATAATAAGTGATCATGTTAAAAACAAACACTAAATTAAAGGAACAATACAGGAGCATGCTTATCTATGCAACAAACTTGGTCTACACAACAATTATATTTAATACATATTCATATCAAAAACTCAACATTTAAATGGTTTTAAAAGAGAAAAGAAAAATGTGCAACACACCATGGAAGGGTTTTTTTTCCTAGCAGACTTCAAAAGCCAAAAGCCTGTCTAAATAAAAACCTTGTTTCCTGCCAATAGAAGGGTAGCATGGAGGGATTTCCAGATTTCCTGGGAGTAGCCACTGAGAAGGCCCTGTGTTCTCACCAAACGTGGCAGTGAAAGTTATGGGACCAGGAGAAGGACTGCCTCCAAATATGTTTATGTTGTCAGCATGACCATTTTATTTTGCTCATCTTTTGTAAGTCATCTTGAGAAATGCTACATTTTATAGAAATATTCCCTGTAAATTAAATCCAAAGAGGAAGAGACAATGGTCTAAAGGATGGACAGTGAGAAGAGAGGAGAAAGGATGATGTTTCCATAGTGATGCCACACAGCGCAACAAGATGTCCGACTACAGCTTTCTGATTTATTGCTATTGGAGAGGATAATGGGTGCGGAGAGGAAGGGATGTGACTCTTCATAAAATACAGAGCATTTTTATGTATTCGTGTAGACGAATTTCCAGAAATAACATGTGTAACAGAAGTAAACCTTCTTCTCTGTATGTGTTTCTCCAGACTGCTTCTTTAATATTAATTTCTTGTTTGAAAATTCAACAGTGTAGATAAATAACAACAGACAACATTGGATTCACTCAAGGGAACTTAACCATTTCCCCCCCTTATATATCACTAATGCTAAGTTGATATTTCCAGAAGAAATAAATCTCCCCCTTTTCCTTTATGTTGGCAGCATTTGATGTGTGCTGGTCTGTGGTGCCTTGTGGAAGGAGAAGCATCTTGTAAAACCAAACTGGACCCCCCATTGGATGGCACAGAATGTGGGGCAGACAAGGTAACCCCAAATATTAAGCTGTCACTGCCTGTTTCCTCAGAGTAACCCACGTGCTGGCTGTTCCACACCAGCAATTATTTGGATTAATATTGTGCATCTTGTGTAGGTAATAAGATACACATTTTTTTAGTGGCTTTGATGTGCAATGTTTGGTGGTTTTTGTTTGTTTGTTTGTTTGTTGTGGCTTTGATGTCCAATGTTTGGTGGGTTTGTTTGTTTGTTTTTTTGTTTGTTTGTTTGTTTGTTCGGCAGATTTTAGTGAAGGTAAACACACAACAAGCCCATTTCCCATGTATGTGGTGTTTATCATCCCCTTTTAGTGAAAGTAAATGCACAACAAGCCCGTTTCCCATGTATGTGGTGTTTATCATCCCCCTTCCCCTTATTTGTTTGATCTTTTTGAGTATTTGTATACTTAATGTTTTTAGCTTCAAGTGAGTACATACAAGGTTTTGCAGCATGGGTTTGGACTGGGGGGGAGTACATACAAGGTTTTGCAGGATGGGGGGGATTATGTTTCTGTGCTGTGATTTTGTTTGTTTATTTGTTTTGGTGTGGATTTTTTTTCTGGCCCCAGGGTGTTCTGATGTAGCTTGCTGTGTTGTTTTGTTTTTTGGTGTTTTTTTGGGGGGGGGACTGCATTCCAATGGGGCTTGCTGAGGTGTGGGGGTTTTTTTGGTGATTTTTTTTCCAGCCAGAATGGATTAATGGGGTTTCAATGCATTCCTATGAGAAATGGTGCTTCAACTTACGACCAGTTTGAGTTACAGCCATCTTCTGGAACGGATTAAGTTCATAAGTTGAGGCACCACTGTATATATGTACCATAGATCGTCTTGCAACTGGTGTCTGAAAGGCAAAAGAATTGGGGAGTGACCAGATCCTTGATGGAAACAATCTGTTCCATGTGTTGAATTTAAAAAGATAGGATTGTTGCCAGAGAAGATTGTTCAGTATGTACTGAAGGCCATTTGTGTGCCCTAAACCAGAGCCCCCTCCCCTCTCTCTGTGTGTGTGGTTTGGTTTGGTTTTGACATGATGTGTATGTAGATGCACATGAGCAACATAAATCCTCCCTTGTCTTGTCCTTCCAAGATAAGGACGAGTCACTCTAAAACTATTCTCCCAAAGAAAATGAGATATTTTGTGACACTCTTAATATGATTGTGCTAATAGCAGAACAGAAGTAACATTTTAACAAAAATTATGCACAGTGGCTTTTGCTTTCCTACATAGATTTTTAAAGAATTAGAAACATTGTATTTGTATCCCTTTTTAAACCAGTGTTGTTGTGTTGGAACTTTTCTTTGCAAAGGGAAGGGACCCTTGTTTTGCAGTGAAACTGTGTGCAAATTATGGATATCTTGAGGAGACAGAGAGGAACACTCTTTGTCTTGCTCCGGGCAAATAATCTTACAAATTCCTCATCAAGGTGTCTCACCCAAACAAGGCAGCTTAAATCAGCAAGAGCACAGAATTTAGTGAGTTTTCTTTACACCCTGTGCACGCACATAACAAGAGTAACGTTACAGACGTGTTGGGAATCAAGTAGAGCTAGATTCACTGAAAGCATCCGAGAGCTTGTTTGACTCCACACAGCTGCCACATGTGGATGGGCTATTTTTTTTTCCACAGTCTGGCAGAAATTCATTGTGTGAAAGCTTTTCCCATCACCGCATCTCCATGCCAAGGAAAAGCAGCACCTCTTAAATCTCTGCCTGTTAAAAGGCACAAGAATGCGAAGGGGGGGTGGGGAGTGGCAGCCAACTTATCATTGAAGGAACTCTCGTGGCTTGTTGTACCTGAAGCTCTTGATTTAGTGCCTCTGTGTGAAGGCGGTTTGAGGGCAGAGAGTGGATTCTGTAAATCGGACCAGAGTATAACTCTGGTGAGGCAGTAGGAGCACTTGGTTTTCAAGTATAAGCTGGACAGGGGATGGAGAATAGACACCAAAGGAATATATTGACAGGACTTGTTGAGAGTACATCTGGAGAGGTCTAGCTTTTCAACAGGGACCTCTTTTTCAGTATAAAAGCTGAAGAGTCAGATTCCAGTTTGCTGAAGGGCTTAATTAAGGCATCATGTTGGGCAGAAGCTGCACCACTACAATTTCTGAATGCAACGGCACATTTTTATAGTGCAATCCCGTGCTTGTTTACTCAGAAGTAAGTCCTGCTGAACACAGTGAGACTTGCTCCCACGCAAGGATGTAGGATTGCAGCCTCAGATAGTATTAACGATTCCATAGTTCATTCACAGTGTATGTCAAGGTTGGATGGGGTGGGGGAAAGCGAGATTATAACAAATCGATCCAAAGACTGGTATTCTAGTTTGTGCTCAATAACAAGAATGCCCCAATCTTTGTGTGATATTACAGTGAAGTCATAAATTTAAATCCTTATGATTTATTCCTTTTCTCTGATAAAAGGATTCACTTGTGTAAAGATTTAGCAAATTCTGTCAATAGTTCAATGTTATGGTAATAATTCCTTAAACCCTTCCCCGTTGGACAGAAATTGGGTATGTGGATGTGGGGGGTATTAATGGCTGTCTATGGTATATGTTGCACTGCACTGTTACTAAAAATGTACAGTACTTCCACCCATAACTAAATGCACTTAAAAACAACTAATCCATTTTCTTATTGGAAGAGGGGAACCCAGAGACACTGGGAGATGGACCAGCTTTCACTTCCTAGATGAGCAGTCAGCTTGAAGCATTTTTCCTTTGGGTTCTTTGTTCCTAAAACTTGACTTTGTTTTAACCCTATAACTGCAGAGTTGGAAGGGACCCTATGGATTATCAAGTCCAGCCCCTATCAAGGAGGCCCAGCTGGGGAATTGAACCTCCAGCCTCTGGCTCTGCAGCTATAAACTATCTCGTAATAATGCAGGGGAACCCTATCTGAGCACATGAGCAGAACTTTAAAAACTGGATATTTTCTTAACCTCCTGTAGTTTTTACCACTGTCTGAGGGATTCAATACTAACATCCCATGCTTCTTTTAAACTGCAGATTTTATTTAATTTTCCCCAGTATAACCGGCAAAGTGCTACATCTTTCTATTCATACTTGACAAGGGTTTCTAGTTGTGCTGAAAGATATTTTGATACTAACATCCCATGCCTCTTTTAAACGTCATTTAATCTAATTTCCCCCAGTATAACCGACAAATTGCTACTAGGGTTTCTAGTTGTGCTGAAAGATATTTTTGTAGCTGTTCTCCTCTTGCTTTAAGTGCATGCAACGTTAAAGTCATTGTCAGCCCTGTTCTTCCAAACTCTTCCAGTGGTGCCGAACTGGGGAGTGTGTCAGCAAAACTCCCATCCCTGAACATGTTGATGGAGACTGGAGCATGTGGAGTCCCTGGAGCATGTGTAGCCGAACATGCGGGACTGGTGCCAGATTCCGGCAACGCAAATGTGACAATCCACCGTAAGTGACACTTGAAAAGGAGAAATTTAGAAAACTTTGCCATGTGCTGTAGGTTTTTCAGGCTGTTTGGCCGTGTTCTAAAAAACAGAGCAACACAACTCTGTAGTGTTATGACAGGAAAAGTGAATGTCTTGAAAATAAAAATGGGCATTGACAAAAAAATAATGGAATGCTTGGGATGAATGCCGTCAGGATGTTTTGAGAGCTAGAAAGCAGGAAGCAACATTGGTTTGTGATGTCAAAAGGAATAGTGAGGCTTCTCATGGCTTTTGATGTCTTCAACACAGACATCAAAAGCCACGAGAAACAAAAAAACAGAATACATGGGCTATTCACCACACTATAGTGTTAAGCAATGTGTATAATGTCTTCTTAAAGGCTTTCACAGCTGGGATCCGATGGTTGCTGTAGGTTTTTCAGGCTGTTTGGCCGTGTTCTGAAGTTTTTTCTTCCTAATTTTCTGCCAATCTCTGTGGCTGGCATCTTCAGATGACAGGAGTTAGAACTGACTGTATTCTGATGTAGTGTGTGGGATAGTTGAGTATTTGTAGCTGTGGGATCAGCTTTTTGTCCTTTTCAGGAGATTCGGTGATTATGGTGATCAGGGTGTTTTTTGTTAGCCTGGTTCCCAGCACTGCAAAATACAGCCTGCAAAATGGCCAATGAACTTTACCCAGCCACAAAGACCGGTGATCACTGTACACAAAAGACTAGCTAACAATACCCATCTATCACGGTGACAGATCATCTCCCCCTTTATCACAACAATACACATTAGATTTTTTCAGATTAGGCATCCTTCAGTCTCGAGAGGCTATGGTAATGTGCTCTGAATAGAGGACTTGGAACAACATCTAGTGTGGCTGAGAAGGCCAATTCGAGAGTGACCATCCCTTCCACATGGCAGACAAATACAATCTGTCCCCTGTCCAGCTCCTTGATTTTGCTGGTTTCGGAACTGCCTCTTTGCCTCGGCCTGCTGTACAAGGGCCTCTCCAAATTGGGAGAGGCCATGATGCACCACCTGCCTCCAGGCTGAACGCTCAGATGTCAAG